ATCTAATTTTTAAAAAAAAGCAGCCAGCTGAATAAAATGTTTTTCAAAATTCATGTCAACTTTGTTGGACAAAACATCATAAATCAAGTATTTTTCTTTCTTTCGTGGTAAATTATATCAATAAAATTTGAATATGTTTCAATATCACCACAAAAAGGAAATAATGTCTTYATCATATATGTGTTACTAAAATATCTCCACTGGACAAATACAATGAAACTTTCAAAAAGTAACTGGACATCCATCAAACGGATTAAAGATGGTCGCCACCGCTGACTTTAAAAAAACTAAAAGGGATTTAACTAAAAATGTAAAGTCAGAAGGTTCACAACAATAAAAATGAAGAGTATATAACTTTTTTTGAAGAGTAAGAAAGGGGTAGGAAAATATGTCTTTACTTCAACCTACTCCTTTTCAATACAGATGGTCTTGTAAGCTGCCCAATACAAAATATTCATGTATGTGCATATAGATATTTACACATTTTGTTTGTTTTATCTGTTTTGAAATAAAGCTATTTTCATTCATTCATTCATTCATTCATTCATTCATTCATTCATTCATTCAACTCTTTATTGCAGACATATTAAAATAAAAATTTGGTTTGGCCTTTGCTGAGGCTGATCCTCAAAACCCATTCTGAGTGCGTATTGAATTTTTTTTACTAATTATTTGGAATCAACTTTGTCTATTAGCAAAATATCTCATAAACAACTGGRCAAATTTCAATAAACTCCTCAAAAAAAGAGTCACAAGCTGCACTAAACAATTTATTAACTGATGTAACTAATCCAATCAAAAATGGCTGCCACAGTCAACTGGCCATGGAAAATAAAAAAAAATCTCAGTTTCAGTTTAACTTACAGACATGTTAACGTATTAGCTGAGAGTCATTTACAACCCATWCTCTGAGCACTAAYTGATCATGTGAGATATGGCAGTACAGCATGAGTTTGTGCATAATTTCACTTCCAAGATTTGTCATTGCTCAACACAAGATAATCTCAGTCTAAAAATCTGGCACTAGCTCTTTTTTTCCAAGTAAAGATGTTTAAAAGAGACTCGTCCAAATTCAAATTTCAGCTCTGTGCTGCTTCTTTTGTGATCAGGAGCTTAACACAAGGGGACAGCATTTAGCTGTGGACCATTTGCTGTGAGTGCTTTCAGCCACTGCACACAACCTAAACACAGGRAATAAAAACAATTTATTTTAAAGGGACCCTGAGAGATGACACAAGGCGCTTTTATTGATGGAAAAATACAGGTTTCAGTTTTTGAAGCATGTTTCTGATAGCAGGCTTCCCACACCATTTCTCCGTAACAGTCACATTAGGTTTAGGGTTTAATGATGACATGGTGTGAATCCCAACCACACAACTGATACGTCTTCCTCTCCTTTGGAAAAAAAAAAAACATCTGCACACCTCCCAGATCAACCAGCACTGGAAAATGATGAGTCATCCATCCATTCTGGCTCATTCAGAGAGATAGTAACAATATGAGTAAATAATTTGACTGGCATGTTTTCTGACACCTAGATTGTAATTAGTGTCTATGTAGTAGGGTGTTTTTATAGAAGTTGAACAAAATATGAACTCAAATGTGTGCTTGAGGGGAAAATTAATATAAAGGTTCACACCCACCTCCTAACACTCTCCCTTACTCACTTTCACAGCTCCTGTGACAGTCAGAGTACGTTTTGAAGGCTTGGGTTGGAAAGTGAGTCAGGTCTTCTGCTGCAGACAAACCCCCCTCC